CCTTGTCAACCTTTTCATGTGCATATAATTTTAACTTCCTACATCTAACATTTGTTTTGCCATACGCTGATAAAATGTTTTCTCTGTTTTTCCATATGGTTGCAACAGTAGACTTTGCAAGTGCTAATTCCTTACAAATGTCACTCTGTTTTACTCCACTTTTTATTTTGTTAATATTCTCGTATTTTTCATTTAGTGAAAAAGCTTTGCGTTTTTGTTTTTCCATTCTAAAACGATTTACATACATAACGCGGCAAAAAACAACTGCCTGTCTCTCACTCTCACTAAATATAAACAACTCCGCAGGATTGGTGTTGCTGAGCRTGGAAGTTCGTTATRAACGGAAAGTGAATATGCTACTATCCTAAAAAGTGATCGTTACATCCGGAAGTTCGTTATAAACGGGTTCGTTGTAACCAGTAAAAAATACGTTGGTCTTTATGGACGACGTTTCAATTGCAGGTAAAAAGTTCGTTTTAACCGAAAGTTTACTATAACCGGGTTCATTATAAGCGGACTTTACTGTATTCTGATATTTTGATTATTTTGATAAAATAATACATCGCCTACTAATAATACATCCTTGTCCTAAAAAATACTTTTTTTACTTAAATAATATCCCAGAATGTTCAAAAAAATATCTAGATGATTTTGTGGGAACATTCCGAAAATGTTTCATTTGTTTTTAACACTACAAAGTTTCATAATATTATTAAGGACTTGGAAAATGGTGAGCCCACTTTTAAATTTCTTCAAAGATTCAATAATTTTGTTTAGTGCACAGTGCGAAACAGTTATTTAGTATAAACCTATTTTTTGCCCCAAAAATCGACTTCCTTCAGTACGGTACTGACGGTCGACGAGTAGTTATTTTCGATCATTACCGTATGGAGCGCACTTTCACGTGGGCATCAGGTACTTACACACACAACTCTCTCGGTATATGAATGGGTTATTTTGGTATTGTCCATTACGCTTTGGGTTCCATTTCCTAGGTTCTTAATTTACTTGGCAATTAATTAGGTGGCCTTGCAAACTGCAAAAATTATTTGCTTTTAATAGCGATAACTAATTTTTATCAGGTCATTATTTGTCAGGATGTATCATCGCAGGTGTTACATCGCAACAAACGCAAGTCTTATCAATTTTTTTGGTATTTTTCACGAGCTAGCACTGTTTAACCGTAAAATACCGTTGAAAAGTGGGCGCTTGGGTAAAAGTGAATAAACGATTGTCCATAATAGGAAAGCACCTACGAACAAAACTTCGGCGCTTATATAGAGCGATTTTAATGTCTATACTATATTTCGGCCCACGCGTTTAAATCGACAAGTAAATTTTTTTACAATACAATTTTCTTACTGCGCCTCGCGGTACAAGTGCTTGCTTAAAATCAGCCTTCACCCACCATCTGGTCTGCTTCTTTTGTCAAAAATTTGCATTTCTTAAGAGATGAGATTTTTTCAAACTCCCTCCGACTATACAGAGTGATTCAAATTTTTTCCCAAAAAGTCCAATCGGCATCAACATAGAGAGGAAACGGAAAATAGTAGTACTGATAAACCTTTAGAGCCATTTGAACACGCACATTAACATTGTACCATCCACTCTGCAAGCGCTACAGAGTGGTCGGTCTGAAATGGCTCTTATACGCATTGAAGCTGCGGTCGAATTTTGGCAGAAAGGCCCCAAAAAATGGGAGTTTTCGGGGTTTTCAGGCCGTCTTGGACTGCATTCGTTGAATGAAGTTACTTCCAACGATGATGAAAATTGTGGTTCTTTGAGTTTGGACTTTACTACTTACATCTTTGGCTATTTCTATGCAACTTTTAGCATCTTTAGGGCCAATTATCTTGTGAGAGTTTCAGCATCTTCCACGTCAAATGACTTATGTAGACTGTCTAAAGGATTGATTCTAGCTTTGGTCAAGTCACTTACATTTCCTCATCACTCGCCCTACCTACTAAAGACCTAAACAACTACTAAAACTGCCTGAAATGCAAAATAATGCAAGCAAATACTTCTGGCTGTCTGAATAAATTCACTAGTTTATGACAAAAATCATGCAGATGACACTTTGACAATGTCAGAATGTCAAAAACAACCTAAAAGCAGAGAAAAGTATTTTGTCTCTGATAAAGGTTTTAGAGTGGATTACGTGCCGAATTAACATCCAATCCAGATGAGGGCAATATGGTGAATGTCTGATTAAACAAACTAGGGCTTTGGGCTTGGAACAACACCCATTCTTGTGATTCATCTTCAAAAGCCCCCAACCTTGACCACTGCTGGATGGTAGATTATTTATGCGATAGAGGCTGTTCACCACAACAAAGAGGGCTTTTGGTAAACCCCTTCGAAACAGGTAGTGAGTAATAAATGGAAACCACCCAAATAATCAATAAAGGAGTTAAGCAGGCCATTAGGACCATCTGCTCACACCCAGATGCCAAGATCAAAGTACCTAGAGTTTACTTCAAACAAATCGTGTCTGTATAAGTTTGGGTGGAAGTCAGAATCATTAATTAACAAGCAAATGCAATAACAACAAAACAACGCCCTAGATTTAAATCGAAGATGTTAACGCGAAATCTAGTGAGTCGCTGGTGCTGCGACTCGCGGGTAGGGGAATGGAATAAAAGTGCCAGCCGCAGACCGCCATATTGCATTGCATTGAAGAGATTCTCGTCGAGAACATCAGTTGTGTATTCTAGTTCAAGTTTTTTTTAAAGTAACAAAATGAGGGAAATTGTTCACATTCAAGCCGGCCAATGTGGAAACCAGATTGGAGCTAAGGTATGTACACTTTCTATTGTTTTTCGTACCCTTTCATTCCATCTATTCCCTTTTTCCCATTCCTGAGAAACCGGGTGGCCATGTCTGGACTCCATTTTGACACCATTTTATACCGATTTTTCCCCGAATTCATTCATTTCATTGCTGGATTTCAGTGAAAAAGCCGGTTTGTAGATTTTCACTGAAATTGACACATATGTAGCCGGCACGCCCGGTTCAATATCCAACTTAAAAAAAAATACTACCCATCCTGAAATCTCGACCCATTAGGCCTGTGAAGGTTTGTTCGTTCAAGTTCGTTAGTTTCATGTATTTTTGTGCCTCAAACGTTGTTCTTATGTGCATGTAGTTATGTTCCAATTATGATAATAATACTTCCAAATTTTTCTGGTTAATATGTAGATTCACAATTGGTCAGTATATAGTCGTAACTATTTCTAAAACACGTCTAATCATTTAAATAAGTTCTAACGTTCATTGCTCCATCGTCGGCCCCCTGCCATTAGCCAACATTCGCAGCACGGGTAGTACAAACGGTTGAAACGACCGTTAAATTTCCTGTGGTGTGGTCTTTATCGCTCTCATTGTTGCCCTATTAGCGACTTTGTCGACCCTCTTTTTTTCAACGGCTTCTGGAACGTTTGTGAACTGATAGTCGACGTGGCCTCTATTGAAAAAACTTGAATGCTGCTATTTTGTACTTGGAAGAAATATTTTTCATTGGAATTCGAATTCTTGGAATTCGAATTCTTAGAATTCTTGTCTGGGATACAACGAAAATAAATTTTGTACTTATCAAAGAAAATTTGCTTAAATTTAACGTCAAGGAAGCATTATTCGCCCTATAATTTTGTGATTAGAGAACGAAAGAAAATACAATTAACTGCTCAAGGCAGAATGGTGATCGATTCGGTTTTCTATTCTCTACCAACTTCCCTTTTACAACAACTTTTCCTCTGGTTTGAATTTTATTTAACTGTGTTGTTTGCAAATTTACTAAACAGCTACTTGTGTTTGTGTGATGGTTTTTCGTGCTATTCACGAAGTCAATTCATTTTTTCTGCTCATTATTGGTGGTGTTTTTGTTCAGTTTTATTGCCGCTTATTTTGTCTTCCAAAGCGATTTAACTGTCCTGCACTAAACTTCCTTCTGTTCCAAAAGCTAAGAAATTTTATTTGTATGGTTTTCTTGAAGACAATTGAGCATCGACCTCATTTCGTTGAAATTTCGATTAGTTTCTGCCCTTATTTTGACTGCAAACTCATTATTCCATTGCCTTTGGGATTAAATCAACCACTCGTTAGAATTTTTTTTTTAACAAACATCTCAAGTGTTGATAACTTTGATAAGATTGTCCGTTGTCAACGCTATTTATAGTGGTGTTAAACTAATGCTTACATTTGTACCAGTCAACGTTTATCTTCATATGTATTTTCTTTGAACCGCTGAAGTCTGGCGGTAGCATGAATGCTTAGACGGCAATATTGTGTTAACCCATCCTCTGACGCCTCGAAGCTCTTGACAGTCTGTTGAGTCATATGGATTTGAAGCCACTAACTTGATTTTTGTTCCAGAAACATTTGCATCGAAATAACAGGAAATGTGAAAAAAAACCGAAGTTGGTCATTATTTTCAATTTATTCTGGGTTCTGGGCGGGGAGTCAAGATCATTAACTTTTTGCCGGACTTTCTTCAATCCAAAGATCATTCTGTAAGAGCTTCTTCCTTCTGCATTTTTATTGACTGGCTTCTTTAACGATCCATTTGAATAATTCGCGTCATTTTCTGCAACGTTCGTTCGGCGAATGGAGGCCATGGCTGAAACTCCGCCAATTAAGCCTCCTGCTGAAATGAAATTATCGAAACGATCATCATCAGTATCCGTTAGGCGAAAAAAGGAGTCATATTTTACGCTGGCCGAGCACATCGATTCTGCAATTTGTCTCACTCCAGTGGTTTTACTGATGTTCTTGGCCTTCGTGGATTCTCGGGCTCGGCGTGCTAGATGCTGCAGAGTTCAACATCCTAGTCGAAATGCCGCATAGCGGCCGCAGCTTATTTTAGTTAACTCGATTTTCAAACTTCCTAAAAATATTTTTCAGGACTTGTTCTTTTCGTCATTGACTTCATGGCAGTCTGTTCTAGACGATGCTGGATCTGTACCCACAGACGAACACAGTTTTATTTATTGATCCTTATGAAAGGTTTTACTTGATTTTGGAGTTTTTTTTTATGATAACTAGGCACTTTTAGGCACCGCTCATTTGTCACAGCTTTACATTTTCTCATTTTAGTCCGAGTAATTAGCCTAGTTATTGGGCGCCCTGAAAACTGGAATTTTGAACCGAAAACACCTCTATCAGCATTTAAAGGTTAACGCATCATTATCGTTACATTAATGTTTATTTGCGAATGAAGTCATACACACTTTGAGTGTTATCTTTGAATTACCTCACGCGGCTGACACCATCGCTAAAGCTAAAACCGTATCAAACAGATAAGTTCATTTATTAAGACGTGCATGCAGTTCAGACAATAATTGTAGTAGAAATTTTGGGAAAGTGGAGCAGTCGGCAATTGATCCATCACGCCAACATTTCCCAGATCGACATACATATTCATGAATTCTACAAATAGGCATGATGAATTTTAGTTTCGAAGAAAACGAATGTTTGTTGTTTGGTGGAAAAATTTCCGTTTTCAGGGTCGCAAATGGTTTTACCATCACGCTTCCGATACAATCTTTACAACCCTGCTAACACATTTAATTGCATCTGATATGCGGTGTTTAAATGATTTTTTCCACTGCTCAACAATACGAACGTTTCAGGCAAATTTGTGCCAATTTTGGTGCATAAATTCTACTTTCTTTGGTTTGTTTGAAGCGTTATGTAGCCCCTATTTGATTTTTGTTCGTCAATGTTTTGCTAGAAATTAATCGCCTCATATATTCTCTACAGGATGGCGAAAAATTGCCGAAAGTTCGACATGCTGCTAGTCGGACCAAAACGTTTTTTAGGTCTCACAGCAACAACAAAAGTTTAAAGACTTTTCTGCTCTTGGATCGGTTTTCACGATCTTAAACTCATGTTGAAGCTAAAACTTTTGGCCCTAAATCTGTGGTTCTAGCAGGCTAAATATTTCGTTCATTTAGGCAACCTTGTATGTTAATGTCTACATGGTTGAAATGGGAACAAACGGGTTTTTGTCCAACCAAATGGCATGTGGAACTTTACCAATTTTGAATTGTTTTATTGGCCACCCTGTAGAAGCTATTTTTTTGCAAAAACACGCACTAACCGAAAAAGGATTCCACTAAATAACTCTTCAAACAGAAATAAATGAGCTCGCCGCAATCAGAATTATTCAGTTCCAAAGTTCCAATTTGTCAGGGTAACTTTTATTTTGTCAGCAGTTTATCGGGAATGTATTTTAATTGCATTATAAAACGCCTCTCTTTCCTCTTGTCGTGTCTTAATCATTTCTTCATTCTCCTCACAGTTCATCGATTTTCTTTCCATTACTGACGTGATTGCGTCCATCTCAGTTTCCTTCTTTCCACCACATAAAATCTCAATTCGACGACAATCGAAACCCCATTAAAGGACAGTTGATTATTGATTGCGATAACGCGTTCGCAATGAGCCATTTTCAGTGGGTCGGCTGCGTGGCATTGTGCAGTTGTTTAACCATAAACGGGATGCCGTTAATTGGTGACGCAAGCCATTGCCTATATATAGCTGTGACTTAGTCACTTAAAAAAAATTGTAAATGCTACAGGCCTTTACCTGATCGGCCAGTGTCGCCTCGATGCTTCACTGAGCTCGCATTATGTGGTTGTTTTGTAACGTTGACGCCATTCAGTAGTAGTAGTTGTTTTATAGCCTTGTAGCTCTATGTAGATTTCCATCCCATCAACTAGTCTGTGTAGGTTTGGAGTGTGAACGCAATCGAGATTCTTTTGAATTAACTTTCTATTATAGTAATACCCAAAATTCCCCCTGTCTGTTGCCAGGTGGGGTTGCCTAAAAATAGCCCGAAAACTATTAATGTTCAAAGAATCTTCATGCTAGAGAAAGCGGAAAGAGTGTATTGATTTTGTCGGCTGCACCTTCGACTTGAGCGCTGGCCTGGCGACAGAACAGTGGGGTGCGGTCGCGATTAGTAATCCCCCGGGCGTTCAGTCTGGGCCCCAATTTCATTCCCATATTATTCACGCATTGCCCATAAAAACTAACTGTTTCCTGCACGTTGTTAGCTCATTTTGCCCTCTCGGTTACTTAATCGATATATGGTTGGTCTGTACGTGTTTGCCCTCTGTTTGCGTCAGCGGATGATTCATTCAGACTTGTTCGAAACCGGAATATGCGATCAAAATTTAATAAATCTATTGAATGAACAGGAACTGTAGTATTTTTAATGCAGGATAATTGGGAATTCGATTTTGTCCCTTTCAGCACATTATAGTCATTGATTTTGGATAAACACACTTGTTTAATGTTGATATAGAAAAATTGTCAATTTTAATTTATAATTTATTTACTTGACTGCATACTAGGAGAACATCGACTTCCTTAGAACTGTTATTGGCTTTTCCCAAATGTTGGTCTTTATTTACCCGTTTTCCAAAAACTAGACAGGATGGACACAAGCGAGTCCATCTAGTAAACATACGGGAATTAGTCGAAAGTACTGACCATTCTGGAGCGACTGACAAGATTTATAGCGTATTAACAAATTGGCTGAGTTGCGGATGAAGGGCTGAATTCAGCTCTTTGTGGTGAAATCACTGATTTGGTTGGCTTTAAGTACACAAACTCATTGATAGTGAAAGATCAGCCGGCGTCGGAACAAAAAAACAAAAGTTTAGTGCGTTTTTTCCATTCTGTGAGTATTAGGTCAGAGCAAGACATCGTCAAAGCCAGGTGAGTGTGATGTAACATTCTGAAGTGCAGCGTTCATTTGAAATTTCTTTTCGTTGAAAACCGGCACTCAATTTCATAGTTTTGCATCGATTTAGCGATACAATTTTACGGAATTTGCACAAAATGACATCTGTTCGAATAGCGTTGCTGTAGCTTGGCAAGCCTAAGTGAGCTAGATGGTCAATTTTTCATTTTACGGTGATTCGAAAGGATATTTTAAATTGAAGAAATGCGAATCATGAGTGAACCAACCTTCTTCTCTTACCTCTGCCTCTCCCCCAACCTAAGATGAGTCCAATTTCCATTGTCACCTGACACCTGAACGTGATTTCCACTGGACACCTTAATGTACAGTACAGTACAACACAGACTTGGTTTCAATTGTCAAACATGAACATTACTTATTAATGTTTGCTTTTTTTTAAGTTCTGGGAAATCATCTCCGATGAGCACGGTATTGACCCCACTGGGGCCTACCATGGAGACTCCGACCTCCAATTGGAAAGGATTAATGTTTATTACAACGAAGCATCCGGTGGAAAGTATGTGCCTCGTGCCATCCTGGTCGACTTGGAACCGGGAACTATGGATTCTGTCAGATCGGGACCTTTTGGACAAATCTTCAGGCCGGACAACTTCGTGTTTGGACAGTCTGGGGCCGGAAACAACTGGGCCAAAGGACATTACACCGAAGGAGCCGAATTGGTAGACTCAGTGCTGGATGTCGTGAGAAAAGAGGCAGAATCCTGCGACTGTTTACAAGGATTCCAATTGACACACTCGCTTGGAGGTGGAACCGGCTCTGGAATGGGAACTCTATTAATTTCCAAGATCAGAGAAGAATACCCCGACAGGATCATGAACACTTACTCAGTAGTCCCCTCGCCCAAAGTATCTGATACAGTAGTGGAACCATACAATGCCACACTCTCTGTTCATCAACTGGTTGAAAACACCGACGAAACTTACTGCATTGATAACGAAGCTCTCTACGACATCTGCTTTAGAACTCTGAAACTCACCACACCCACATACGGAGATTTGAACCATCTTGTATCGCTCACCATGTCTGGAGTAACCACATGTTTGAGGTTCCCCGGTCAACTGAACGCTGATCTTCGCAAACTGGCTGTAAACATGGTTCCTTTCCCACGTCTGCACTTCTTCATGCCTGGATTCGC